AACTAGCAAATTTTTCTTTTCCGAATTTGCGAATCAAAATACAAAAGAAACAAACGTCAAAAATGTTTTCATTTTAAAGAATTTTTAATATTTTATTTATATATTTTTATATATTTTATTATATAAATTGCAAACATTAAATATAAAATTTCACTTCCACAAATTAAAGCAACAGGTTTGTAAACAAAAGCCGGCTGTGTCAGTAAAACGAATAGGTTAGGTTAGATTTGGGGATTTGCAGTCACACTCTGAGACCGATTAGGTCCGTTGTGATCATCCACAAGAAGAGATACAGCGAAGTGAAGAGACCAGAGAAAGATCCGTAGGGGAGAGAAGATTAGTGAATTAAAGGAGTGAAGAATGAAGGTCGATGGCCCTATGAGTCAAACAGAAAAGTGTTACGTGCCAAGGTTGTATGCTCCTAACCACTTCATGTTTCTAATTATACTGTAGATTAGAGCAGGTTCGGTTGTTGAGAAGAGGCTGAGACTAGGTAGAAAATGAGCACCCATTAGTCTGTGTCGCCTATAAGCCAGGGCTGGGCACTGGCACAGGAGATGCTCAATTGTCTCCGTCTCCTCCTCGTCAACACAGAGTCTACAGTAATCAATTGCATCGAGATCCAGTGTGTCCATTTTAGCATTTTTGCAGTTAGATTTAGCATTTTATTTTTGTATTTAGCCGCAAAATTTTCATTTAGCATTTTTTTAGCATTTTGCAATTACTTATTTAGCATTTTTTAGCATTTTTCTACACACAACATTTTTAAATATTTTGGTATTTTTCTTATTACTATGTAACAATGACAATCCTTTAAAAATGGTAACCATTTACCAATTATGATCAGCTGTTCAATAGAACATCAGCGTTTTTCTTCATGACAACTCTTTAACGATGGCAATCATTTAAAATATCAATCAGCTGTTTGCTTGCATTCATTGAGTTTGGTAGTCAAAACAAAATTAAAGAATCCAAATGTGAAGAAGCATATAACAGCAAAAAGTGTGTTAACGTATATTCTTGTGATATTCATCTGTATATAAAACAAACAAAAAACAGTAAGGAAAGTAGTAAAGTCGGTCTGGGCCGACTATATGATACCCTTCACCACTTTGGGGATATTATACATATGTATCTTTACAGATGTCGTCTTTTCGAAGGAACATTGACATGAAATTGAACGTACTTAAAATTGCAATCTTTATCTATAAGTATACCGACTAACATCAATCCTTACACATGCCATTCTGCAATCTATTTCATACTTTTTAAATAGACTTTCAGCAAACTTTATGCACGCTATTTTGTATGCTTCACTGTTTAAAATGTAATATGAATCAAGCACCCATTGATTATTTGGTTTACAATCAACATTAATTTATACTAATTTCAGTACGTTTTGCCAATCGGCCTAGCTATGGGTCTTTAGTACACCATTAACTTAAAATCGGTCGAAAGTATATATAGGAGCTATATGTAAATCTGAACCAATTTCAAGAAAACTTCACACACACAAGGTTATAGTAACTTCAGTACATTGTACAAAATTGTGTGCGGGTCGGCCAATCTTTGGGTCTTTAGTGCTATATCTATATCATGGAGCTATATCTAAATCTGAACCGATTTTCATGAAACTTAACACACATCATTTTAGACCTAATTCTGTACTTTATGCCAAATTTCGTGCAAATCGAAAGTTATATTGGGACTTTGGTGCCCCATTTACCTTAAATCGGACAAAAATATATACGGGAGCAATATCTAAATCTGGACCGATTTTCGCGATACTTAGCACACACCATTCTAGACTTAATTCAGTATTTTATGCCAAATTTCATACAAATCGAAAGGTATATAGGAACTTTGGTGCACCATTTACATAGAATCAAACAAAACTATATATGGGAGCTATAGCTAAATCTGAACCGATTTTCTCGAAACTTGGCACACATCATTCTGCACCTATTTCAGTATTCTATGCCAAATTTCATGCAAATCGAATGATATATAGGGACTTTGGTGCACCATTTACCTTAAATTGGACGAAACTATATATGGGAGCTATATCTAAATTTATTCAATTAAATTTACGCATCTCCGTCTGTCCGTCCGCCCATGTATTTTTGCGAACAAAGTGCAGGCCGCATTTGTGATCCGATTTGGATGAAATTTGGCACAAGTCACTTATTTGGTCCAAGGACGAACCCTTTTGAAATTGGAAAATCAGTGCACCAAAGTCCCTATATAGCTTTCGACTTGCACGAAATTTGGCACAGCCCAATGAATCAGGCCTAGAATGATGTGTGTCAAGTTTCCTGTAAATCGGTTCAGATTTAGATATAGCTCTCATATATATTTTCGTACTATTAAATTTAAATGGTGCAACAAAGTGCCATATAACTTTCAATTTACACGAAATTTGGCACAGCGTAATGAATTAGGTCTAGAATGATGTGTTAAGTTTCCTGAAAATCGGTTCAGATTTAGATATGAATTAGGTCTAGAATGGTGTGTGTTAAGTTTCCTGAAATCGGTTCAGATTAGATATAGCTTCTATATCTGATCTAATGAAAAATGTTGTATCGTTTGCAGATTGACATGTTTATGGATCTAATTTCATTTTACTAGTCCTTTAAAAATGAGACGTCCGTTAGGATTCATCTGTTGAATATACTCAATGTGGTGAAGGGTATCATATAGTCGGCCCCGTCCGACTTTACTACTTTCCTTACTGGTTTTTTATTGTTATTTGCCATGGCTCAACAATAAATGGTTGAATTTCTATATTACATAGTTTTATTCTAAAGAAATATATTTCCACAGTTAAATAAATGCTATTAAGTGATCTTCTTACCAAAAAAAAAACGTTTCTGAATTTAGCATTATTTTTTGGCATTTTTTTAGCATTATTTCGCATTTTTTCAATGAGGATTTAGCTGCAACTTTTTTTTGATCTGGTCACACTGTCGAGATCCCATTTACTAGTAAAGGCCCTGATGTTGCAGTCGGATATTCGAATAGTTTAAAAAGGAAATGTCAACAAAATTGTTTCCAACAAACACAGCAAAGCAAAATTTGCGTGCACCGCAAATTCTGAACAGGCAAAGTTTTGTATCTCTTCCTCGCACCCCTCTCGCCGTCAAACTCAAAATTTGCCAAATAAAAATTTGCCTGTGAAAAGGGCACGATTGATAAAAAAGTACTAAATGTGAAGTTGTAATGTTCTGTGTCACCTTGTAATTTCGATAATAATTTTGTTTGACAAAACTACAGGGCATGGCCCATAAATAAGGTCACCAAGATAGCAATCGAAATCGGAAAACAGCTGTTTTTTCTCAAGTCTAATGTCAAAAATTTCGACTTTGTTTACGTTTTCATAATGGAAGTCAATTCACAATAATGCATTTTGACAGCAAACTTGAGAGGTATCGATAATCAGCTGGTCTCCCTTGGTGACCTTATTTATAGGCCATGCTACAGGGAATGAGGGGAAGCCAAAAAGTCTGAAAAATAAACTCTGCTGACATGAATTAATAAAAGCTGTCATCAAGTACGTTCATTAATGTCATGTTCTGACGGGCATTTGAACAACGTAGTTCGCTCTTAGAATTATACAAAACTTGGTCTGTTCCCGTACTGCAAGAATGTACAACTTTTTACTACGATAACGAATTTTCCTTTATGATATCGAAAAAAATAGTAAAATCTAGTACTATGTACAAAATTGCAGCGAATTCGGTTGAAAAGCGCGCTCAAGAACCCCAAAATACCGAAATTGGGGGGTACCCTTATATGGCTTATATGGGGGATATCCGAAAAAATTGACCTATATTTAAATTTTTTTGTGGAGAGATTTGGTACCTGCTAAGAACTCAAAATACTAAATTACAGCCAATTCGGTGAAAAATACGATAAAAACCCAAAAAATACTGAAAATTAGGAGGTACCGTTATATGGGGACTACAAGAAAAAGTGGACCTATATTTATAATTTTTTGTGGATACATTTACTACAAATTCGCTTGAAAAAACGCGCTCAAGAACCCCAAAATACCGAAAATGGGGGGGTACCCTTATATGGGAGCTATGCCTAAACGTGGACCGATATATCCCATCTTCGAACTTGACCTGCCTGCAGACAAAAGACAACCCAATGCAAAATTTCAGCACCCTATCTCAATTCCTTCAGAAGATAGCGTGATTACAACAGACGGACGGACATGGCTAGATCGTCTTAGAATATTACCCTGATCAAGAATATATATACTTTATAGGGTCGGAAATGAATATTTCGATGAGTTACAAACGGAATGACAAAATTAATATACCCTCCATACTATGGTGGAGGGTATAAAAAGTACTGGAACAGACCATTTGTTGGCGAAGGTTTGCGTACGACGTCGCTTGAGTCTTGGCAGAACGACGATTAACAAGCGAATTTTATGAAGGCTGGAGTCTTGGAGGCTTCCCACTGTTCTTTTGAATCTCTCTCTCTCTTTTATTATTTTTTTTTTTCGTTTTTCCATATATAGTTCCTTTGCTCCATATAGTTCCTTTGATCCATATAGTACCTTTGCTCCATATAATTCCTTTAGTTCATACAATTTCTTTGCTCCATATAGTTCCGACTCCTACATAGTTCTTTTGAATCTCTCTCTTTCATCATTCTTTTTTTCGTTTTTCCATATATAGTTCCTTTGCTTCATATAGTTCCTTTGCTCTTTATAGTTCCAATGCTCCAAATAGTTCCTTTGCTCTTTATAGTTCCTTTGCTCCATACAGTTCCTTTGCTTCAAATAGTTCAAAAAAGGAACTGGATCAGAGAAAGGAATTATATTAATTAAAGAACTGGAACTAGTTCCGTTCGTTCCTTTCTCGGAATAGTTCCAATGAACTAGTTCGTTCCGGAACTACCCAACTCTACTAGAAATCTTATGAAATGCGATATAAGGTAAACAACGTCAATAAATTGTTATTCTGTGTTTTAGTCTTCAAATAAATATGTTGAACGAGTTGATTACATGGGTACTTAATACCTATCTTGGAAAATATTTAGAGGACTTTAACCCGGCACAACTGTCAATTGCTTTGATTTCTGGTGAGTAACATTATTAAAGAAATACATTGTTTAATGTATATTTTTTTGAAGGCGAAGTGGAATTAGAGAATGTACCAATACGGAGGGATGCGTTACGCTCATTCGGAATACCAGTTGAAGCTTTATCAGGAAGTATTGGAAGGATCAAATTGCAAATACCTGTCAGACAATTCCGTACATCGCCTTGGAGTATTGTTATCGAGCGTGTTTACGGTGTATTTGTTCCTAAGGATCTAAGCGAATGGGATAATGACAAAGAAAAAGATGCTGAATATGCATATAAAATAAGAGTTCTCGACGCGAAAGAGGCAAACTGGAGAGTGGACAATGGATGTAACGCAGAGAGCTACTATTCCTTGTCTTATTCAAACTGGATAAACTATGGTACTTCTCTCGCTACCAATATACTTGAGAATTTAGAACTCACGATCAAGGATGTTCATCTACGATATGAAGACACGTTATCTTTAAAAAATTCACATCGCGCTGCCGGAATACGCATTAATACAATTTCGGCTCAAAGTTGTGATAGCAGTTGGATTCCGGGCGCAAAGAATCCAGACACACAAAATGTTTCATTTAAAATACTGGAATTAAAAGACTTACATTTTTATTGGGATGTGCTAGATTCAAGCAATATGTGTAGAGATTTATCTTCAAAAGAGCTTTTGGAAAAAATGAACCAAACCTGCAAAATGGAAGACCACAATTTTTTAACAAATCCAATAAACGCTACACTGAAATTTAAGAGGGAACGATGTAAGCAACCGCTTCGGAATAAAAACCGGCCGAGAATTTCATGTGACGTTTTTTTCCACCAAGTTAATCTTTCATTAAATGATGTAAGTACAATATAACAAATTATAATTATATTGTTAACCTGATTTATCATGTTATTATTGAGTTAGCTTGATTGCAAAAAGTTTGTAACAACGTGAAATAATGGAACTAGCATCAGCTTTTGTTAAACCGATTCGTCGAACATGAGTTAGGAATGTCCGTCGTTTCAGATGTCATCCAATAAACCTTGTAGGAACAAGTCTAGTTTAAGGCTCCCTCGCGGATCGTTTTGAAACTTTTACCACATGTAAAATCGATATTTCCGAAGATATGGGCCATCAAATGGGTATCATTTTAAAGCGTTTTAAGCTCTAATTACAAAAATATAATAATTTTATCAAATATTGTTGCCATCTCTTGGCGGTTGCGTTCGGAAATATTTAGGGTAAGTGCTCCTAATGTCGGCATGTACCAGTACTCAAATAAATCCTTTCACTAAATTTGAAAACAGCCTTGATTATCTTCAATATTATTGGCATCTATTTCTGTGAAACTTTTCATCAAACTAAGTTCTTTTATTAGGCAGTAATTTAGGATTTTCTCAATGTTGTTCTTTCACCACTAGTAACAATGCATGTTTCTTAAGAAAAAAAAAAAAATAATAGTGAACATTCCGATTTTAAAAGATTTTATTTTATTGAAGTTATATATTTTTTTATCCGGATTTTTTTTTTCGTAATTGTTATGAGCATATTAAAGGAAAGAAAGAATTTACAAATATTAAGAACTATTTGGAATTATTATTTTTTTGATGCCGCCTTTAGGACAAAAAAAATTACGATGTCCCTATAGTCAGTATCTGGGTGAAAAACCAGCAAATTTTCGATAATTTTGGCTTAATATTGAGAAAAAAGTTTAAAAAAGTACTCTAAAGGCCGATTCATTTATAACAAATCAATTTTGAGTGGGTTTAAACAATATTTGGTATGGTCTTAATCTCAAACATTTTAAACATAAAAAGTAGCGTATAAGTCATGCCGAGCATTGAATAACTGTTTCCTAAGGTCGGCAGCAAAAAAAAAAAAAAAGTATTTTAATAAACATTTATTAAAGAAAATAATAAAAAATAAGTTGTGCAAAGTTTGGTGCAAATTCCATTCGCCTGATATTAGATTTACAAATATTGAACATTTTGACCATTTGTGGGGAAGTTACCAGAAGGAGTGGACCAATGGGTACCGTCTTCGGACTTAATCTAGACTTCGTAAGGATAATAGGATTTGCAAAGTTTAGTTCACATCTGACATTCCATTCGCCTGATATTGGATTTACAAATATTGAAAATTTTGAACATTTGTGGGGGAGGTACTAGAAGGAGTTGACTAATGGGTACAATTTCGACCATTTTGTGGGGGAGGTACCAGAAGGAGTGGACCGATATTCCCCATCTTCGAACTTAAACTAAGTTTGGACGAAATATTAAGATGTGCAAAGTTAGAATGAAATCGGTTGACAACGGACGGACGGACATGAGTAAATCGACTCCAAATTTTCTGAAACGGATGTGGTCCAAAGAAAGATTGTGTCTAAAAACAATATTTCGATGAGGCACATTTTCACCGTATCAAAGTGTATATAGCCATAAGGCTGAGGGTATAATAAGTCAACTATACAATTTTTCTTCAATAACAGTACGATATGCCGACTATTGGAAAATCATGTGCCTACAATTGGAAACTAGTGTTGGAAACTATTGGCAAAAAGCACCATTTTACCTAATTGTAAATTTCCTCAATGTTCTTACAAAACAAGTTTTCGAAAGAAATGAACCTTAATACAATATAATGGATAAAATGCCGACGATTGGTACACTTACCCTATTATTTATCTCTATTTTTGTATAATTATAAGCTCATTTGATTAATTCCGAGTAATTATAGAAGAATTGTTAACACCAGTAATATATAGTGGTACATTTTTAACCAAATTTGAAATTATCAAAAGTAACTCATTGATACCAAGAATAACGAAGGAATTAATAAACACAGTTACCCCAACAGTTCCTGTAATGAGGTGTATGGGTATTTCCGTGTAAAGTTCCACCAAAGCTGGAGAGTTTTCTTTCTTTAATTATACATAGATAAGTGAAGTTGCGGTAAAAAGTATTAAGAAAGATAACATTTGTCATTATTTCTTCTTGTCGTTAGCATAAATACTAATGTGATGACTATAAATGTAGATAGTGCAGAAATAAAAACTGTGACAGTGCAAACGTCTAGTGAGTGACCCAGAGAAGTCCTTCTCAAAAAAGAAGAGATTTTATTTAGAAAGTGCAATAATGATCGATATTTCTTATTTATGTCAAAAATAACTAACCCAGTTATGTTGAGGGTACAAAATGCTACAGTTCTGCAGGCCATAACGGTGTGGTCTGCAGAGCCTCAAATAGGTCATTAGAAAAACAGTAAACAGGGAATTTGTAACATAACAGTCGTACTACATGTTGTAAACTCGGCATATCTGGAATAAAGTTTAAAATTTTTACACAATTCGGAGTTTTCCCATTATTCTAAAGCCACATAGATTTGAAGTCGTGTGAGTGACCATTCTTCTGTGGCTCTCAATTTTTTCACTGTTGATAATACTCTTAAAGTACTACAAAATAGTATTAACACTAGATTTAAGGAGTGAGCATGTTTGGCTTATTTCAAATTTAATCACTGTGTATCTTTTAAACTTTAATATTTATTTTAAAAATATAGCTTGGTTTTTTGTTCCATCATTTTCCCCGCAGAACCCTTCATTTCGAAATTCGTATATGGTATGGTATACCTACATTTACAGTTGTGAGTCAATTTGGCTCATGCCATATTTTACCAGCAACCACATAAAACACCTTATTATGTGCATTGAAGTGATATATAATTTATATATTCGTATTAAATCGATTTTCTATACTGAAACGAAATCAAAAAAAATATTTTTATGGAAGAAAACTAATAAAATAGGCAAAAACGTAGGTAGAAAATCGATTTGTACCATATTTGAAAACGTTTCAGGTCCAACTGCGTATGCAAAAACGCATGTTATGCTTGGTTCAATAAGTAGCACATTCATGCTGATACTTGACGAAGGTATGTTGGCGTATATAAAATCAACTACCAGATTTAAAATAAAGCAGTATTTCTTTGCATTAAATTTAATTTTGGTAAAATATTACTTTTCAAATGTTGACCCTTTATGGGGGAGGTACCTGAAGAAGCGGACCAATAATCCCCAACTTCAATCATGTTATAGAATTGGTAAAAATATAAGGTTGTGCTATGTTCACAATGGATAAATTTATTCAACAAAATGTTTACCTTTCGTGGGAGAGCTATCGGAAGGGGTGGTCTGATATTATTTAGCATTTGCAGCCTTTAGGCTGAGGGTATAAAAATAAAGTTTATCAGTCATATTCTGGGTGTCAATTCTACTTGAATTTACTCGCTTCTTTTCCTTGGACTTATTCTGAACAACATTTCACAGAGATTTTTTTCGCATTCTCGCCTTCGCCTTATTCTGAAAGAAGTTCGGAAGCGAAAAATCCGCTTTGAGGAAAAATTAGTTATTCTGGATTACAGGAAGTAGGAGAATGAGATGAAATTTCGTGCTAAATGTTTCGCTAATAAATTCAAAGGGAGCTGATTGTATACAAATTTATAACTCAAAAACAACAAATAAAATGCCATTGGAAATCCTATTGATAACGATGCATGCTCAAAAAAATATTGCCACGGAATGTATAAAGGCAATAATTAATGAAATGAAATAAATGAAATGAAAGACAATAAGTAATATTTAAGCCGAGTTTGATGCCTTTTGGAGTCGAAAAAAAGACATTATTGGTTGGGATCTGTCCCTTCACAATATATATATATATATATATATCGACGCCTCCGAACCATAGTATGCTAAGTCGACTTAGCATTTTCTTTACATTTTTGCATTCTACGGTCCTTAATTTACATTCTCTGAAATTTTGGTAATCATCGGCCAATCCAAACCAAAGTTATAAGCAAAAATGTACTTAGCATGGCACGTACGATTAAAGAAACTTTCATACTTTGAAAGCTTCTACTGAAAAACTCACTTTTCAGACATAGCATACTATGGTTCGGAGGCGTCGATATATATATAATAATTTGTAATGTATTGTAGTTTTTACACCAAATAGCATCAAAACAATAAAAAGCTGTTTTACATGCCATTTGTATGTTGCCATATTTTCAAACTTTAATTTATTTTCTTTTAGTTACAAAAAATATGTTTTATATGAGTTCTTTGATAAAGAATATTTCATATAAATTAATTTGGAATAGCTTTCTTCGCCAAAAATTTTGGCTCTCTTCCGTAAAACTAGGTATATAACAAATAGCCGTAAATCTAGTGTTAAAGGTGAATTGTAAAAAATTAAATTGTGTTTAATTTATTTTAATTCATCTTATTTTCGTATACGAGAATCTAGCCCAAAGGACCAATAGCGATTCAAAAGAACAACAAAATATACTACTCCAAAAGCTTAAAACTAACAATGTATTAGCCTAATAATCAGCCTTACTCTGGACATCAATTCACCGTGAATTTTATCGCTCTTCCCTTTAAAGGTATTCTAAATATGAATTCGCAGCGATTTTTTTTTTGCATTTTCACTTTCTTATTATGCGAATCAAGTTCGAAGGCAAAAAAATACACTTTGGGGAAAAATTAGTTATTCTGGATTATAGAAAGTGGGAGAATGTGATGACATTTTGTGCGAAATTTTTCGTTAATAAATTCAAAGGTAGCTGACTAAAAAAAAATAAGTATTAAATATCTAAACAGTACTTATTCTATGACAATTTTGAATTTTAAAAATGGTTGTATGCATATTTTAAACTTAAAAACAACAAATAAAATTCCATTAGAAATCCTATTGATAACGATGCATGCTTAAACAAATATTTCTACGGAATGTATAAAGGCAATAAGAAATATTTAAGCCGATGCAATTTAGAGGCGAAATAAAGACATTTTGTGTGAG